AGGTGTACTGGTGTTTCACCATCTTCCCCACAGAATCTGCATTCGCCGTTTCTTCTTAGTTTCAATCTACTGAGGTGTTCATTGAGGAGACAGTGTCCTGTTAAAAACCCCGTGACAATCCGAAGATTGTTCTTACTCAGACCCAGGAAGATCTGTGATTTTTCTTGATCATAAGCCCTCAGAAACTTCTTCGAGTGTCCTAGACCATTGCAAGATTTCCATTCCAAGTTGCGGATGGAATCTTCCAAGTTCTTGAGTTCCGCCTTGAGTTGGTTACCACTTGGAAAGCAGAACGGTTCTGGTCCAGTTAGTGGAGTGTTCGCTCCTTTCCTAGCTAGATTATTTGCTTTTTCATTGCCTTCTATCCCTTGGTGAGCAGGCACCCAGTGTAGGAGGACTTTGTTTTCTTTGGCTAATTTAAACAGGAGGAAACAATTCGGCATGTAGTGTTTGCACTCATTTGGCTCCTACAGAATGCCGCAACCCACACAATGAAGTAGCCAAGCTTATCCACCAAGAACTGGGGCTGCAACACCAAAATAGTTCTAAATAAAGAGGCATATGATAAATACCAGCTTAGAGGTATAATCGAAAATGATTCTACTAAGCTTTATTGGGATATGAGCATAATTACAGACCAACTAGTACCCAATAATAACTTACCACTATAGACGTGTCAGTTCCTATAGATGACAACATAAAAAGTTAAGGAAAAGGTACAAGGAAAAGTTGGATAAGTATGAGGGTCTAAAGCTGAGCCGAAGCGAGTTTTGAATCTAAAAACCGTAAAAATTTTGCCAATAATTATTACTGTCAACGGTTTAATACATAAAACTGATATTTTAAGGCGTCTGGGATTGCGAAGATTAACTCTTGTTCTATTACAAAAATCAGCAATTCTGTGCACTACAATGGTAGCCTTTGTTAAACCCCGGCTAGCGCATATGAAAAACCTGTAAAAAAATCAAAAAATAATATGCTTTATTGTCTAACAGATTACAAAGTCCAATTACAAAACATTCATAATTAATTATGAATTATATTTAGATTTTTGGGTATCTTTTAGTTTTTAAGACTGATTCTCACGACTCGTGTACTTGACAAACATTTGTAATTGGTATACAGGGTATACACGGTGCGTCGGACATCTATACAGAATTTCTAAGTTATTTATTATAGGAGCTACGCCGCACTCCCGCCGGAACCTGTATGCCAATAAAAACTACTTGCGAATTGTCCGCCTTAATCTATTCTTTAGCTTAAGTTAATTATACAGGGTGTCCCAATATTCCGTGGACATAGAACTACTACGTACTTTTGGAATCAAAATAGGTTCATTTGACACAATTTACCTCTATATAAAAGTTCTTCGTTTGTCCGCTAGAGGGCATCAAACTTTGAAAAAATAAACACATTTTTTCTGATATTTTAAGAACCGTTATTTCCATTTGAATGAGATTTGGGTGTCTATGCTAATGAGATTTGGGTAACTTGCTAAGTGATTTAACATTTGACATTCACAAAAATCAAGAAAAAATACGAGAAGGGTGAAAAGTACCCTACATAAAGTATCTACATAAATTTTAGTATAAATATTTTCCAACTCAACCGACGACTGATTTTCTTTTCGTAAAATGTTCTTTCTGGTATTTACTACATTTTTTATCTCTTGTAAAAAACGCCACATCGCATAGTTTTTGAGAAAATATTTTTAGAGAATTTATTTTTTCAAAGTACTTACACCTACAAAATATACAGGGAGTTCCAATATTCCGTGGACATAGAACAACTGCGAATTCTTTGAATCAAAATAAATTAATTGCATATAATTTACCTTTATACAAAAGTGCTTTGTTTGTCCATTAGAGTGCATCAATCAAAAACAAACCCGATCGGTAATTAATTTACAAGTTATTCATTTTTTCATGCTTTTACGAAGCTTATTATATCTCCATTCTACAAGTCTCTTTGTCCACCGTCCATCTGTTATCCTAGCCACATATCCTGCCCAATTCCATTTAAGATGTAAGACAGATATCATCGATAATTTATAATACTAACGTAAAAAGGGCAACGGCCCAGCTACGTCGAAACACCAGTTCCCATTAGAACACCGAAGTTAAGCGACGTGAGGCGATACTAGTGGATGGACGGGTGACCGGTTCGAAACTCTGTATTGTGCTGTTGTCCAAGGCAAAAGTGTAAAATCTATTGACACACACTGCTCATTCATGCCGGTTCGAGGTTGAATGAGATCGGATATCTCGTGAGTAAGAGTCGATTTTAGAGACTTGCCAAGTCGGTAGGCCATTGACCATGATATGGCCAATGACCGCGGTTCGGATTCCGCGTAAACAAAGTAGGCCCCGTCCTGATTAGCCCTGGCAGCAAAAAGGTGACGTTAACTGAAATCTTTACTTTTCTTTACTTTACTAACGTAAAATTCCATATTTTCGCCAACTAGATTATTAAGAGCATAATAGATTTTATGCGTCTATAGCTTCATGTGACAAAAAATATTTTTTGGAAGTCAATGTGCGGTGGCATTTTTTTACAAGAGACAAAACATGTAAATACTAGAAAGAACATTTTACGAAAAGAAAATCGGTCGTCGTTTGAGTTGGAAAATATTTATTCTAAAATTTATGCACCGCACCCCTACATAAATTTTAGAGGTACTTTTCATCCTTCTCGTATTTTTTCTTGATTTTTGTGAAATCCAAATGTTAAAGCACTTAACAAAATGGGAATAACGCCCAAGTAGCATCTCTCTGACTTCGAACTAAATCTGACCTGAAGCGACGTCAGACTTTGTGCAAATTTAGTTCGGGTGCTGGTGATACGACCGGTGACGTCGCTTTCCTATTAAAAGCGACGTCGTTGGATCCGAGTCGGTGAATCCAACGATCTGTCGACGTACAAAATAACAACGTACCATTTTTATTAATTTCCCAACCTCGTTCCCACGTTGGCTTGCACAACGTACATATACTTTCTACCCGTTGTCCGAATAGGATACGTCTCACTGATAATCCCTAAAGTAACGTCCAATTATATTTTGTTGTATTTTATGTTCATATTTATAACCTAATTTACGTATCTCTATTTACGTCCGTAAATACAACGCATTAAGTAGCATTTGCGGCCTAATGAACATCATGAACATAACCTAATAAAAAGTTTTCGTAAACAAACTTAATTTTTTTTATTATACATAAAAAAAAATTATTTCAATTTTTAAAAAACATTCATCTACAATTTACAGAAAAAGGTCGAGGCTTTTGCAAAATAATAATAGTAGTAGTGATGTCTTGCCTCCACCCACGAATGCTTTTTATCCGGCAGAGATGCTGCATTACACTGGTGCATCTTAATTTCATTTTTTAGCTTAGGACACCAGCAGACCCCATCCTCCTCCCACATGTGAGGTACTGGTTCCAATTCTTTTAAATTTTGTATGTATACTATCTTAAAAAAGTGGCTGCCCATTTTTTTAAGGAGAAAACAAATACTAAAATATAGTTGCACAAATCCACAAATCACTGATACGCAAAGTGAGGTTACGTGGCGTACGTAGGAATTATATACGTCATAATACGATTGCCGGTCGTCTGGTTCGATGACTTCGGTCGTGTGGGACGACTAATATTGGAGACCCGATCGGAATTGGTATATTGGTAGTTCATATTAAGTCGGACACAGAAATCCGCCATTCTTAACACGTATCCGATTGTCAGCCATTTTAAAATCGTTTTTGTTTTTAAAATTTATATTCACATTTCGATTTCTAGTAGAATAATATTGATAAGGTTGAGTTTGGGAGGAACGACAGTACAGTTTTATGATTAAACCAGCTAGAAAATTAAAAAAATATTTTGCGAGTAACTTTTTTATAGCTATTTTTAATTTCATAAATCTACCTAATTTTGAAGGCGCTCGTTGTTTTCCGGAGTACTTTAATCAGATATATCAAAAAAGTGACTTCCGTTGACAAAACTGATGTCTGGATTAATGATTCAGAATTATTATAATATGAAATTAGGTAGGCACTTATAGTTATATTCGAAGAGTGATTATGAATCCATTTGTAATTAGGTAGTTTGGTTAGGTTTTTATGTATTCTTGGTAGCGAATATGAAACCAAACGTAACGTAAGTGCTTAGCGACGAATTTTAAGCGACTAAAATCCAACGTAATATGACGTTGGTAATTGGTAGAATTACATTCCCTATTAGGTCAGATACCGACGTCGAGGCGACTCAAATCTGTATTCCCCATTTAGGTGCAAATAAGGGTCGTCAGGCGGTCGAACCGACGTTGGTACCCGACGTCGGGTTTATTGAACGCGACGTATACCCGACGTTAGATAACGTCCAAATGCTACTTGAGCGGTTCTTAAAATATCGGAAAAAATGTGTTTATTTTATTAAAGTTTGATGCCCTCTAACGGACAAACGAAGCACTTTTGTATACGTGTACTAAACGTTGCACTGTTTTGTCCAATTGACTTACTTTGATTCCAAAAATACGTAGCACTTTTATGTCCACGGAATATTGAGACACCCTGTATAGTTTGCTTTGTTAAGATTACTGAAAAAATGTACTTTTTGACTTGATATTTTTAAAATTAGTTTTTATTTTAAACGGTAGATGTATCTAAAGCAGGATATTTAATAAATGATAATTTGACATCTTTGTATATTTTAGTTTTTATTTTATTTTGTTATTTAGTTTTTATCTTCTTCAACTTAAGTTAATATTATAGCCTTGATTTATATTGACAATAGAGTACTTTTTGACTTCATATTCAAACAAATCTTGTTAGGTTGGAATGGCAGAGGCATCTAAAGCCTCGAACAAGACGATAACCACTGCCAGTTTCTTGGCGCAAATGGCAGGTGGCGCTCCAGAAACGCCCAAAGAAAAAGTCATCATTCCCAGAGTGCATTCCTCGGCGGAGAAAAAGGACAAGAATTCCGGAATAGTGGATTTGGATTGACTGAACCTTTGTCTCCCGCCACCCCCGAAAAGCTGTCCAACAACATGGAAAACTTATCGGATTCGGATCTTCAGACGTTGTTGCAGAACTTCAAAGATCTCTCCACCGACGAGCAAATGAATTTGATCAATTACCTGAAGAAATTGGAATTGGACGAACCAGAACGCGTAGAAAGGTAAGACAAAATATATATATTTTTTTAAATTTTATAAAATTTATTAACAAAAATTGTTTTATTATACCCGGGTGTTTCTGAAAAGTGGCTCACCACTATAATAACTTTATATATATTTATTATATATAATATATATATTTATTATTATTTTTTTATATTTATTAACTTTATATACCACAATATATTCGATCTGCCTAAAGCAATCGATTGGATATCACACAGGGAGATAAATACAGGGTGCTCCTGCCTATTCTGCAGATAAAAATAAGTAAAAAGTTCGAATAAATTTATGTCCTAAAATGCTTAGTTTCGGAGATACAGGGTGTAGAGGTTTCATTTTTATTTTGATCTTTTACAAATAATTTATGAAATAACGTCAATATTTGGATGAAAATTGGTGTTTGGGTTTTTTTGACATGATAAATTTGATTTTGATGTCAATATGGCTCCTATATGTAGGGGGCGCCGCCTACATTGTGCTTTAACTGTTTTGAAGAGTAATAATTTTCGTCCGCACCTGTATAAACTACTGAGTGAAAAAATATACATTTCCGTGATTTTTTACATGAAGAAAATATCCTGGTAAAAATCGCTACAAGAAATAGTTCTCGAAATATTTGAAATGGAAATTAATTAATCATTGACATAAATTAAATATGTTGACTAAATAGTTATTAGACTGAAATCATAAATTTGAAATTTTTTTTGTGAGAAAAGTTATAAATTCACGAAAATGTATATTTTTTCACTCAGTAGTTTTCTACAGGTACAGACGAAAAGTTATTACTCTTCAAACAGTTAAAACACATGTAGGTGGCGCCCCCTACAAATAGGAGTCTAATTGACATCAAAATGAAATTTTTCATGTCAAAGGCCTCCCCAGACACCAATTTTCATTCAAATATTGACGTTACTTCAAAAATTATTTGGAAAGAATCTAAATAAAAATGAAACTTCTACACCCTGTAACTCCGAAACTAAGCATTTTAGGACACACATTTATACGAACTTTTTTATTTATTATTATCAGCAGAATATGCTGCCGACGTTTCCGGAGTACAGTTCAGACCACCCTGTATAACGAGAATTCGCACTTTAGTATATGACAAATCGGGATTGACTGACGTATTCATTTGTTTTCGATCACTTCCTGTTTCACCGGAAATGACTTGAAATTAATTTTTGATTTTTAAATGACATCCTCGGTATTTTTTTACTTTTTGTATTTGTATTTTTATATATTGTATTTTTATACACTGAATAGAATGACACGTGTCAACTTTTGACATTGTCGCTTAAAAAAAATCGTATTTTAAATTTCAATCTAGAGTGCCATGGTTAAATTAAAAACACTAATTTTTATATCAAGGAGCCTTGGAAAAATAAATTTGATCATCTAATATTTTTCGTGTCTTGCCTTGACCACCTAAAAGATGCCCAAATCGTATTTTTATTCGTATCTCAATTTTTTCAAATGGAACGATGGTGGCTCATTAGCATATATGAAAAAAAAATTTTTTTGCCTAAAATTTGGTTCCACACACTTGATATTCCGAGTAAAATTGTCGTTATGATTCATAACGTTATGAACCGCATGTTACAATTTCAAATAAACCATATGCGAAAATGTCAAAAGTTGACATATGATATGTCATTCGCTTCAAAATTTCATTTTCTATCAAAGTAAAAAATACCGATGGTACCATTTAAAAATCAAATGTTATAGTCATTTCTGGTGAAACCTGAAGTGACCGAGTAATTGAATACGTCAATCCCGATTTATTTTGTTGATTTATGATATTGTTGTTTTTTTATCTGAAGCCACTTTTTAAAAACACCTGGTATATTTTAATATCATAATATTTATTATGTACTTAAATTTATAAGTTTTCAGTCTTTCAATGAATATTATAGATGTTACGCTCAATAGTCGAATTAAAAATTACGCAAATCTAGTTTTGAGCAAGGAATATTTCCCAAACCCGAAAAACCAACTAACCAATGAATTAACCGCCTCCAAATAACCACGCTAACCAACTCGCCAAATAACTAAACTAATCCAACCAAAAGAGTGAAACCAATGCAATCAAATCACACTATAAGCAAAAAAAAAAATAATCGAAAATAAAATTAATTTTCGGGTTTGGGAAATATTCCTTGCTCAAAACTAGATTTGCGTATTTTTCTCGGGCATTGCCCGAATTCGACTATTGAACGTAATATAGATACTCAATGTTTTATATCTCTCTAGATTGAGGAAGTTTGTGAATTTGGGTTCGGATAAATCGAAAGAGATAACTGAATCGGAAAAAGACGATCCACTTTCTCGGAAAATGGTAGAGAAAGTCCGTTCTCGAATCGCCTGGAAGGATTAAATCCCGATGGAAGGATCAAGCAAATAAGAGCGACCTCAAAACAATTCATTTAGATTCTGAAGATGAAGATTATAGTTATGAAGGTAAAATAAACTTTTTATAAAATACTTATATACAGTGTTCCGTATAACCCTGCACACTACAAAGATCTCGTAAATCAGAAGAGATACATAGATGATTAAATTAGAGGAAATATGTTCCTGGCTAAATATTACAACGTCGTGTTTTGAAATTGAAGAAATCCGATTCTGCATCATTTTCAGATTATTCAACCATTTCCAATTATGGTGTAGCCTCCCTCACATATTTAGATACTCTCTTTGTAGTTGGGCCCATTGTTGTCTATTATTGGCTATGCGGACCCAAGTTATCCCTGCTAATTTCCTTATATCGTGGTCCCATCTCAAGTTTGGTCTTCCTCTAGGTCTCTTGATTCCTCGTGGGTACTATGCTGTAATTTTTGTGCTCCATCTGTTGTCTGTCCTTGCCAGGTGTCCTGCCCATTGTGTGCCACTTGAGGAGTTTGATTCTGACATGACATGACATCTATTACCTGGGTCTTTCGTCGTATCCATTCTATTCTTTTACGGTCTCACCTGGTTATTCCCAGCATATTCCGTTCTATTGAGCGTTGTACGAGCTGCAGTTTCCTTATAATGTCCGTTTTAAGTGTCTAGGTTTCGTATGCATAGATCATGACTGCTAATACATATAAGTGCGGTCTGGATTTCTTATTTAGTTATTTAAAAGCTTACAATCTCTCAAGATACAATGATGATACAAGATTTATAATGATGGTGGTATATGTTGTAGAGTGCTCACAATGAAAAATATGCATACCACGCGTCAATCGATATTCGTTTGCTTCGGCAGGTGCACCTGGATCACATGACTGTGTCCCATTCATTTTTTGTTGATGTTTACAGTGTTTAAATGGAGTTTCTCCAGTAGTAATTTAGTGAACCCTTATTCTTCCCATTTTGTTGTTTTTAAATAAAGTCCCATAAGAGATGTTTCTCCTTACCTTTGAATAAAAAATATTAAAGAAGGAGTATAATGCTATCCATGTATTCATGCATTCAAAATCCAGACGGACACTATGGTGGGGATCCTTGACAGTTCTGATTGACGATGCACTTGACACATTTGAATTTGATTTGACATTTTGCGGATTTGTCAGTCTTTACTGAACTTATTTTATGTTATTTATTATTTATTCTACTACTGATAGTTGATAGTTGTTTAAAGGTAGTAAGTCTAGAAGGAAATTGCGGCAGAACTTAAATTAACAGTGACACTGTTGCGATTTATCGAAGAATACTGTAAAAAAATATATACTGTAGCCTGGCGCTAGATCTCTGTCAAAAATCAAGGGAAATAGTGAAGTAACTTTCTGCTAGTAAGTGACTATAATATACATACGTGTAGTAAACCGATCGTTTATGAAATTCACTTAAAATTAACTAATTATATATTTTTTCTTGCATTTTTGCTTTTATTTACTTCTTGTCAAAGATTAGATGTCAAAGAATCAAATAAAAAAAAATCAATTTGACTGGCCTGTTTCAGTAGCGTATCGAATGTTTGTGTTAATAAATAATTATTATAAGTTATCTATTTTTATTAGAATTATATATTTTTATAGCAATTTTAAAAACTACCAACATTTATTCTCAACGTAAAATAAAACAACAAATTTTTGAGTCTACCCCATGTCTCCCCTACATCGTATTTTTACACGTTTTGAATAAAATGAGAACGGCACTGATTAACCGGAATTTAAGTCGGCCATTTTAGAGTCCCGTCGCAGTCGATCTAAGATTTTTGATATGCTCCTTTTTAATTAATAATCCTTAATTTTATTATTCAAAGCTCCTTACATCTACCCTCCATAGGGAATGCCTAACAATTAGCTTACAAAACAATAAAATTTTGATTTCTAACCCTCATTTTTTTTGACGGATGACTATCAAAGGCCATAATGACGTTACTCGCAAATTTTGAAGTATAATTCGTGGAAAAAGTTAAAGATTTGTCAACTTTTTCTACTTATTGAAAATTACTAATTTTGACGTCCTGAATGCTTACATTCAAATTAGAGGAACAAACTCCTACGCTAATTGAAACCACTAATTTATTCCACTAATTTCGAAATTCTGAATGAACAATAAAAAATTGTATAAAATACAATAATAAAAAGGAATTTTTTCAAGCAGGTTTCCAGAGTTATTAAAATTTTGGTGATCAACTCATTTATTTTATAAGAAATCAGTGTCCAATTTATCCAACCATAGTTTAAAATCGAATATTCCTTTTAGATGTTGTTAAGGCCGCTTCCAAAAACGTCAAACAACAAGAAGCGGAAGGCACGCGTAAAATCCTAGAGACCTCTATCGGTTTGAACGCGAGCAAAGAGCCGAACTTGACCGACGCCAAAGCACTGATCTCGAACCTGATGAGCCTCGTTCAGCGGCAACGTATCGAGCAGCGGTGTCAACTTGCTCGGTCTGACCACGACCACGACCATGTCTAGCGCCGCCAGCCTGACCACGCCCACCTCGTCCGCGGATTTCGTGAGGAATTTGGGAGATATTAACATAGATAGTTTGGCCAAGATAGTGAGCAGCGTGCAGCAGAATAGCGCCAAGGCCGAAAAACCGAAAGAGGTTAAGGCGGACACGCCGCCTGAGATGATTGAGTTGACTGAAGATGAAAGGTAAGCTAATAGGTTATTTTTTATAGGCGCATATTGTAGGTATAGTTTGTTCAACCACTGGTCAACTTTACGTCATCATTCTTTATGCGTTATCATTCTTTATATATTCATATACACGTTTTATGGTGTGTGAGATCAATTCATATTGCTTATAGGCTTGGTGCAATCTCCGCCGGTGCTGCAACTCGCAAATAACGAACACATACAAATACACGGGTTTAAATGGCGAGTAAACGAAAAAATAGTATATAATTATTCTAAAAGTGCTAGAAAGTATAATTTGTGGAAATTCTAAACAAAGAAATAAAAAGGTAAATATCTTGACATTTTCCGAAGGTCTAACTTGCATTATAATTTATTATTCCAGTTAAAAAAAATTAGATAATTTCAACTACGGTAGCGAGCATACTTTTATCACCGGTTTTGCTAGTGGGACATAATTGGAGCTATTTCGTCTATAACGAATTTTTTTAAAGGTACATAATTATAATTTTAGATGTTCATAAAACATTTAATCACTAGTTGATTAAAAAAGTATACCATTAATATAGCAAATTATATTTCATCCTCTCATAGTATACATATGTCTATTTATTTTTTTGATTATGCAACGAACACTTTGTTTACTCACTTGTTTCGTCGAACTGCTTAAATCCGTTTTTGATCAAATCGGTGTAAGAAATTATGAAACTATAAAATGTTGTTTCGGGAGAGTTGAATATCCGGGAAAGTTGAGTTATTGAATGTTATTGCACCCAACAACGCCCTAATTATGCTCACCTTTACGCTTTAACATTTTTTTCGGCAATTTTATTAACATTTGAAATTGTCACAAAACGATGCCCAGTTTGAATTCTTTTTCGCTTATTTTTTTCTATCTGAAACAGCGTTACAGCACACAAACCTTGTACCTGAGTGTTTTATAGTCTCAATAACTGTAAAATGGAAAATACTTAAACATTATGACAGCCACGATTTCAATATTATTTTGCGATCAAGATGAACTGTAACCGGGATGGCGTGAAATACATAGCGAAAATTTCTGATTTCTGCCACATACAGCGCCGCGGTCGGAATTTTTTGAAATCAACTAAAATGCACCAAGCCTATAGCGATTCCAATGACATGTTGAGAGTGAAAGTTATTCTCAGTATTACACAGTTAGCACTGGAATAATTTTCTAAAGAACATGTGCGCCACTGACTTTTTTCTCTTGTTAACATAATTGTTGTATAAATGCCGTTTAATGCCGATTAAAAGTTGTCTCTTAATATTTTGTCCATTGCTATCTCCTTAATATGATAAATGCAACAACTTCTTTCGTTTTCAAAGAAGATAAAGAAAGACAGTATATGACGCCACGTTAAACGTTCGTTGTAAAAACTATACTATTTATATATTTCTAATACACCACACATTAAATGACATTATATTTTAGACCTGATCAAGACTTAGATTCTCGAAATTTACCCGACTCGAAAGGACCACCCAACTTCGGAAGGAACCCTCCATCACAAGGCCCGTTCTCCAACCAACCTCGGCCGCTTCTTGGCCAACCTCCCAGGGGACCCCCTCCGCAAGGGTTCAATCCGAACAGAGGAGGTCCTCCGTTCTCGCAGCAGCGCCATCCTAGACCGATGGGTCCCGGAGGCCCCAATCAAGGAGGCTACGGAAATCCCAACCAAAGGTTCGGGAATCCCCCCCGAGGCGTACCTCCCCCGGGTATGTATCATGGCCAGCGGCCTCCAGGCGGCGGCAATCACAATCAAGGTGGCGGGGGTGGCCCGAGACAGGGCAGGCCGTTGCTGAATTTGACGTTCGGTGCTCCCAGGTTTAGGGGGCCCAATCCGCCACCGATGGGCGGGGCGGGACCGAATTATAATAGGTGGTAGTTTAGGACGTAGTATTGTAAGGCATGCTTCATTTATCATCTCCGTAACTATTTTTATTTGTAAATAATAATAAAGCATTGTTTAAAATGTAATCGGATGTTTTATTTTAATATGTAAGCGCCGAATGATCGAAAAAAAAAATGACGTCCAGTTGGCTTGGAAATAATGAACATGGATTACATTCTCCATATAATTTTACATATAAAATGACACCGATCTTCATTTCATAGCCATCAATGACGCAGTTTTTTTTTTCGATCATACGGTATCGCCACAAAATAGCCAATGTTGTATTAATTTCT